TGTTGAAATGTAGCTATAAACTTGCCTCTTCCCTAATGTCATTTAGTTCTTCTAGGAAATAAATCGAAGATGTTATAATTTTATATGTGTAACAAATAGTCACAGTTGAAATTCCTCAGCTATAATTTATCAAACAGGTTTGGGAATTCTTTTTCCAAAGTTTTTAAGTGTTCAAATGTGAGGCTTTAAATAGATGACATATATGCATTGTTTTTAGCAACAAAATCACTCCAAATTTTCCTAGCAAGCATTTTCAAAAAGGTTTCTCCATAGCAAGAATATCTTTTAAAAGCCATTGCTTTCTCACTCCTTGTAAAAATGGCACATTCGCAAATATATACGCCAGATCACTTGCCACTGACAGCAATTTTCTCATAATTTTTATGATAAAGAGATTCTATGAGGGACACAAATGTCAATCGTGCCATTTTCTTGTTTCCTTGTGACTGCCTTATTAATAGTTTCTCAGCCAGAATTTCCTTTACAGTAATCTTAATAAAGCACTTGTCTATTTTGTTCATTACCTAAACTGGAAAACATAATAACTTAATCAGATTGATGTGGCTTCACATTAATAAAATTAAGTATAAAATGTTATTAAAATAAAATGAGATTAAGAGAAGCAAATAAAATATTTACAAATCACATATCCAACAAAGGACTTGAATCCAGAATACACAAAGATTTTCAAAACCCAACAATCAGAAAATAAGTGACCCAATTAAAAAAAGGGCCAAAGACCAAAACATATATTTTATGAAAAAAAGATATAAGAATGGCAAATAAGCACATGAAAAGGTATTCAGTGTCATTAGCCATTAGGAAAATGCAAATTAAAACCATGATGATGAGATACCACTATAACCTGTTACAATGACTTAAATAAAATATACTAACAATACCAAATGCTGGGAAGAATGTGAAACACCTAAAACTCCTGTGTTTTGCTGGTGAGAATGCAAAATGGCACAATCATTCTGGAAAACATTTTGATACTTCCTTATAAAGTTAAATATATACTTATCATATGACCCAGCAATCCCACGCTTGAATATCTACCCTTGATAAATGAAAACTATACTCACATAAAACTCTCTGTGAACGTTATGATGTATAGAACTACAAACCAAAAGAAAAAAGTCAAATTTAAAATTAAAAGTAAAAAGCAAAAAAATGAGGCCACAGTCAACTTATCAGCATTATGATGATTTGACGTAGGGACCAACTGAGGGCATGATACATGAAAGCAAAGCTTAATTTATTTATTTTAGGTGAAAAGTAAAAAGAAATAGAATTTTAATATGTTTTCTTGCAATTCAATGGACGATTCAAACATACACCTGATTTTGCAGGCTGTTGCGCTACATCCTTGGGGGTCAGAGCATGGCCCATGGATTAGCAGCCTTTCGCAGCCCTGGGAAACTTATTAGAACCCTGGCTATAAATTCCAGCAATCTGTGTTTTAACAGGCCTGCTACACGATTCTGATTCATGCTAACTTTTGAGAAACACTGCCCTAGAGTGTTGGTTAAAATAGTTTCCTGGGCCCCAACCCCAGAGTTTCTAATTTAGTGGATCTTGTGTGGGGACCAAGTATTTTAATTTTCACCAGTTCCCAGTTGATGTCAATGCTTCTGGCCTGGGTACCACATTTTGAGAACCACTGCTCTAGCTCATTCTATCTATTAATATTACAGTAACCAGTAGCCACATGTGGCTATTTAAATTTTAATTAATTAAAATGGCATGAAAATTAAAATTTTAGTCTCTCATTTTCGTTAGTCACCTTTCAATTGCTCCAGAGTCATTTTATTTACTACGTGGCCCTTTAAGAAACAGTTTCCTGACTGGCCTAGGGAAGCACCACCTAACACAACTAAGTGATGACGGAATTATTCTATATCTGTGCTAATAACACAGTAGTCACTAGCCACATGTGGCTACTCAAATTTAAATTCTAATTACAATGCAAGAAAATTAAACATTTAATCCCTCAGTCATACTAATCATGTTTCAAGTACCTGTTAGCTATATGTGGTTAGAGGCTACCATATTAGATAGCACAGATATAGAATATTTCTATCATCACAAAGAGTTCTATTTATTGGAAAGTGGTTTCCTAGGTCATATGTAAGAAATTAAGAAAGTTTCCCTTATTAGTAAATAGTAAATAATTGAAGCTTCCAGTCACAACTACTCAACTCTGCCTTTGGAGCTGAAAAGCAACCATAGCCATTAAGTAAACAAGTGACAATGGCTGTTCTGATGAAACTATTTGCAGGAACAAGCAGCTGGTCAACAGGCCGTAACTTGCTGACTACTACTCTGAACCATTCCCATCACCAAGGCTTCAAAGTCTCTGAGACTCTGCTTCATACCACAAAATGAACACTTCAGATATTAATTTTTAAAAAGCATGAAATGGGAGAGTCTACAAACAGCCATCTTGGCTACTTGAACCATATTTATGTCAACACAAAGTTTAAATGTTTTATAAAAAGATTAAGTCATATTATTGGGAGGAATTTAATGCCAAGAAAGAGGAAAAACTGGCTTTGTGGCAAACCTAAAATAAAGATATTTTGATGTATATTGAAAGACTTTGGGAGCATGTTGCTTTATTGTCTCACAATAGATTTATAACAACTATAGAACACTTTTTGTTTTCATTGTTCCAGTTAGTGTTTCACAGTGTAGATTTCCATAGAATTTTTTTCTCTACTTTTTACTATTTGGCCCGTAATTTTCCAATCCTCCTTCAGTAACATATGAGGTTGAACAATTAAGTTCATGAACTGATCCTAGAAAAAGTGCTACATACCTCATTGCTGAATATCACTATGGTCACCTTTGAAGTACTCCCCTTGGGAAGCTATGCACCCACACCAGTGCCTAGGCCACACTTCAAAGCAATTTTGGAACTCTTTTTCTCGAGCAGCCATCAGAGCTGTTTTCTTATTACCCTTGATATCCTGAATGTCATCATAATGTCTTTCTTTCAATATTTCCTTTATCTTTGGGAAAAGAAAGAAGTCATTGGGGGTGAGATCTGGTGAGGAGGGAGGGTGTTCCAATACAGTTATTTGTTCACTGGCTAAAAATTCCCTCACAGACAGTGTTGTGTGAGCTGGTGCACTGTCATGATGCAAGCAAGAGTCATGAATTGTTGGCGAAAAGTTCAGATCGTTTTCATCTAACTTTTTCATGCAGCCTTTTCAGCATTCCCAAATAGTAAACTTGGTTAACTGTTTGTCCAGTTGGTACAAATTCATAATGAATAATCCCTCTGATATCAAAAAAGGTTAGCAACATCATTGCANACACTAGAGCTTAGTTTTTGTGGTACAGGGTGTGTGTGTGTGTGTGTGTGTGTGTGTGTGTGTGTGTGTGTGTGTGTGTGTCCTTCCAAAAGGAAGGTATTCTTTTCACCTCTTTGAGGCTGTGACAGAGAAGAAAGCCTCTACAGTTTACATTCGCTTTGTCAGCCCAGTACGCAACCATCTGTTTCAGCCATGGAGTGTGATCTGTCAGTTTTGTTTTTAGTTGGGATGCAGTGGCAGGGGCTTACTCATTGTTGCTTCTTTGAGAACCACAAAGCAATTAACCATTCCAGTACTGGCTACAAAAGAGATGGCCGCTCTCTACGTTGGGCCAGATTTTTGCTTTATCCAGTGCTGGAAGTACTACAAAAACTTGAATAGCTATTCATCGAGTGTCATTGTTCATGAAACAGGCAACATGCTTTTTGTTATAAAGGCAACCTGGATTTTCCAACATACCATTTCATTTCAATATCTGTGTGCCAAAGATGGAACAAAGTCTGGGTGCTGTAGACAAACAATCAAAACATGACAGTGACAGACACCCTGAGAGACCTCATTCTCCAACACGTGAACAGTGACATGTTCACAGACGATGGCACTGTGAGCTGGGCTGGGAAGAAAATAGGAAAGAAGACGGGGCAGGGGGGTGATTTTTAATGCATTTGGGAATGTAAGATTCCTAAATGAGGATCACTTTAGGGGGGCACACTTCTCGTAAATCAAAGACCTGTGGAAAGAGATAAGGACCAACAGGTTTTATATTTCATCCTACTTTTCTTGTGGCTCCTCTCCATTTTTCTTTCCCACTTTCTTTTCAATCTTGAACGTGACATTGGTCTCTTTTTCTATCCATAAAGTGGGTGAACAAATTTTGAACTACGAGATATTGGAAAACAAGTGGATATATAAAATAGATTTTTAAAACTTTTGGAAATAGTCACCCTAAACTCTATCTCCATTTTCAACTGACTCCTTTATCTTTTCCAGCAAGTTAAAGTTTTACGAAAGAGTTAGGTTGGCTATCATATGAGATAAGAAAATACTTCCAGTGTTGTGAACTAAATATCCCACATTTGTAGCTATTCTGCCCAATATACAATAGCAGGATTTGAAAACAGATACCCATCTTCTGAATATATCCTTGAAAATGTGTCCCATCATTTTACCTGACAGCTTACTAGATTTTGGGGTTTTTTTCCTGATTAACATTTATTTTGTTTTAAATAATAATTTATAAAAATGTTTTACTTTGCGTAAAACTATTCCTTATTACTTAATGAGAGTAATTAATCCTTTCATATTTTTAGGCAGATCTCAAGTCTTTTTTTTCCTCAAAAATGAATATTTATCAATTTTATGTTTTCCTGTAGATGTTTAGTTATCCAGTTTTTTGTTTCTTTCTTAAAGACTGCATAAGTAGTATTGAGGCCTAACCAAAACCATGTGGGACAAGGTATGTTTGCTTCATATATTTTGGAAATAAACAAGTCTTTAAGAAAATTATTGCTTTTCAAGTGTAACAGTATCATTTTCTTCACTCACATATTTCACCTATGATTCTCTGCATGGCTTTAAAAATCTTGAAGTATTTGCATATTTAATTATAATTAGGATCATGCAAATGTTTCTGTTGTCCTGATTAAATTAATTCTTAAAGCATCCTGCTACTCCTTACAGAAAAAAATGAATGTCCTAGGTCTGACCTTGGGATCCTCTGGTTTGGTGGCCACAGCATTTGCAGACATATTGACTCAACAGGTATCTTGACCTTGCTGCCTTCATTCAAAATGATACAGATCACCCTTATCAAGGCACAGTCTTCCAGAGAACATTGAAAGCCCAGCCAAAGAGCAAGCACTTGGCAAAATTACAGAGTAAGTGACATTTTCAGTTGTATATCTCTGACCATCTCACTAGAACTCAATATCTGTGAAAGCAGAATCAATATTTTCTTCAACTTTGCATCGTCCCTTTCCCCCTCATCCTCAGTTCTTCTGTTTTAATAAAAGGTCTCCAACAGTGGTAATACTCAGGCAGTGTCTCAGGCAGTTGCCTATACCCCAGGTCTTCTCTCTCTTGTGTCCTTATCTTTCTAGGATGTTCAAACAGAATCCTGCTAAAGACCTGCTCTCCCCAAGTGTTTTGGCATGCTTTTGCCTAGGGATCTTTAAATTTGTTGATGGGGTGATTGCTTACTCCTATCAACAATCAATAAAATCTTCCAAACAAATATAACCTACATACTTAACAATTCTGCCCCCAATTCCAATTTCGATGTGTGGGTTTTTTCCCCACCACCAAGAAATTAACTCAATTCTGACACTATCTACCTGGAGACAACATCAGAATCCACAGTTTAAGAGCTCTGTCCCACAAACTGCCCCAGTTCAGATGCCAATAGCAAGTCCAGGTTGTTCCCTGGGCTTCTGACCAACCAAATACAGATGGGAGGTTCCCAGGAGGTTCTCAAAACCTTTTCCTCAGATTTGATTAATTAGCTAGAGCAGCTCACAGAACTCAGAGAAACATTTTACTTACTAGATTCCTGGTTTATTATAAAAGGATATAACTCAAGAACAACCAGATGGAAGAGATGAATAGGGCAACGTATGAGGAAAGGGCACAGAGCTTCCATGCCTTCTCCTATGGTGATGCTTTCTCCAGTCTCCATGGATTCACCACCAACTGGCCAGTTCTCCAAACTCTGTCCTATGGAGGCTTCATTACATAGGCATGTGTGATTAAATCATTGGCCATTGCTGTCTGAACTCCTCAATCTTAGCCTTGTTTTCCTGTCCTGAGGTCAGGAGGTGGGACAGAAAGTTCTAACCATCTAATCACAGAGTTGGTTTCTCTGGTGACCAGCTTCAACCTTAGGTGACTTAGGGGCATTCCAAAAGTCACACATTAACATAACAAAAGACACCTTATCATCTTCTAACTTAGGAGATTCAAAGGATTTTAAGAGCTCTAACAGGAACTGGAGGAAAACCAAATATATATTTCTTACTCTAAATCACAGTATCACCATATACATACATATATATATATATATATATATATATATATATA